TGCTATTAGTTTGATGGTACAGAAGACATGTTTTTGCGTCAATCAAACAGATAAAACAAAACAACAACAACTGACATTAGTATCTTAAAAGTCGATGATATAAATCAACGTAACGCGGGGGGCGATGAAATAACCAATAACGACAAAGCCGACGATGAAAGACATTTTAGTATTGTACAGACAGTTTTGTTTAATAAATCATTTTGATAAATATATTATTAAAAAGATTGATTGTGAAACAAAAGTCATTTAGAAGATCATTAAAACCAGTGTTAAATCCATTCCGTTCCATCTGGTGTGTGTGTGTGAAGCTGGGGGGGGAATGAATTCAAATTCAACAAAATGGAAAATACTAGGGGATTTTTTGCACATGGGGAAATTCCCCCTTTACACCCCCTGAATTCAACGTTGATTAAAACAAAGAAGGTACTGCAATAACTTATTCGGAACCATCGATTAGTTGTAAACTGTCATTACAACACATATACGTCGCACAAAAATTCATGGTCAAATCTTTAAAAAATTATTATTACACGTGTGTGTTTGTTTCAGGTATACCCAGCGTTCTCCAAACTTTTGTCATGCACGCTCCCTTTAGTAATTGTGGTTTCATGCACGCTCCCTTTAGTAAATGTGGTTTCATGCACTTCCCTTTAGTAAATGTGGTTTCTTGCGCGCTCCCTTTAGTAAATGTGGTTTCTTGCACGCTCCCTTTAGTAAATGTGGTTTCTTGCACGCTCCCTTTAGTAAATGTGGTTTCTTGCACACTCCCTTTAGTAAATGTGGTTTATTGCACGCTCCCTTTAGTAAATGTGGTTTCATGCGCGCTCCCTTCTTCTTCTTTTTTTAATGAGTGAAAGAGTGAGTTAAGTAACGAGATATAACACGTGGATACACGTTAAAATGTTTTATGTGTTGTAGTAATTACTTATTTACTTATTATTTTATTAATAAAAATATATTAAAACGCTTAATTTTGTATTATTGCATTATTGACTCTACCCTAATCGTTCGCGCCCGCCAAGAGATTATTTTCACCCCCTGGGGAAACGCTGGTATACACAATAGGCTATTTGCGCTATGTCCACCACGAGGAGTCGAATTCGGACTTTACCGTTGTAAATCCGTAAACTTAAAGCTGACCCATCGGGTGACTATTATGACACAGACTTAAGTAAATCTTTGTGACAGAGAGATGACATTAACAATTTATTGTGACTCAAACGACTATGTGTAATAATTAATTGCAACAGACGTTAGTGTAATAATCTGTTGTGGCATAAACATTACTGTAGTAAATCATTGTGACACAATTGTCATTTCAAAATCGCCTGTGGCATAGACTAAGATGAAATAACTATGATACAGGGGTATTGAAGAAATGATTTCTCATGTCACAGACATTACATTAATGTAATATTTTAAAATCAGATATAAAATTATAATCAGTTAAAAGTAAACTATTAAAACTCACATGGAAGCTGCCATTATTTCTATTTTGGAGTGACTAAGGTATGTCTTGACCATATTCTCGCGCTAGTCACACATTATCATAGATATTCTTCGTATGGTGTTACCAAACTTTCCCGTGGAAGGTGTCTCTGGAGTGTTCGCTGCTTTCATATTAATGCGTTCTTTGGTGATATAGGTCATGTAGGATTCAGGAATACCTGGAGGCTTACGGATTCTGGTATATTTTGAGGCAGTGTTCTCCATATTTTAACTTATTGGATGACAGTTTGACGCGAGTGGCCAGTGTACTCTGGAAAAACTGACATATTGAATAAGTATAAAGTGGTTAGTTCTTTCAGGTTTATCGAGTTCTTCCTCTCATATAAAGCTTTTTCCATTTCCAGTGTGGTGTTGTTTGACGTTTCTGTACACTTGTTCTGCATTGAATTGTATATATAGATTTTACACTTTCTCTTACATTGTGTTTTGCTTCTTTTTTCTTCAACATTATCAGGCTGGAAACTCACGATAACTTATTATTACATTTTATTTCGCATCTCTATACCAATGGGAAATCAATGCACCTGAGTATAGAGCATACATAGCTCTACATTTAACAGGTAGATCTTTTAAAAATAACCAGGTCACCTAAATTTTTTAGTCTTTGGTCTAAAAACCACATCAGTATGTATATAAAAAAAGAGCATCATGACGTCTTTATTGTAATTATAATATATGTGACGTACAGCAATGACTTCAAAATAAAATATTATATTAGAAGCTAATGAAGTTAAGTGCATCGAATGAGAAACCGAAAGTAACTAAAACATTATTTTCTCAGTCACTAAATGAATAACAATACCAACTTCTATATTTTTAAGGATAGTTTCAGAAAATAATTCCCAAACTTTAGCTGTTATTATACGACACATTCCTAGTATGTTTGTTTATTTTTTTCAATGGAGTTATTTCCAAGGATATGTCAAGAAAAACAAACTATTATTAATGCAGGCCGTATCTAATGATGTTCTATATGAGAACTACAATGGTTTCATTGCTATAACAGGAAGAGCCAAGTTATGAAACGTCTTCACACGGGAACACTATATAGCTTAAACCAGTATTTTTTTCAGATTATTAATGCAATCCCAAGAGTATAGTGTTAAAAGACTGATGGTACACGAGTGGAATTTTCATAAGAGACTACGCAACCAGGGAACAAAAACTGTCCTTCAAAGGACTGGGGTCGGTCTGATAGCCTGTTTTTCTTACTAAGTGAGTGCGTAGTTCAGTGCCTACTTATGAATATGAGGCTCCACGGTTCGCGTCCCGTTGTCGCAGAATCGCATTCCGTGCTTTTAACTGTGAGAGCATTACAGGAGTGGCTTTCACATTCCACTCTTCGATTAGATTATCCTAGGTTTGAGGTCAGTTGTCTTTCCTCCATCGGTTCAAAATTAGGAATTACTAGTACAGAGAGCTCTCATGTAGCTTTGTAATTTATTAAATGAAATAAAAAATAAGTCTTTTGACATGTCCTTTAGAGAATTGGAGGCTTATTTGACCTCTAATAACTATGATCTTAGTGACTTTTCTATGATGTTTTATTTGAGAGGAGCAAAAGAGAGGCAAGAGCTAGTTGGGGCAGAAGGGGGTCAGGTGTTATTAAATACAAAAGAAATAGACTTTGTTTGCCTTTAAGAAATGTCTGTTTATCGTTTTGAATAATAAAAAAAACGAAATTACCTCAGGTTTTCTTTGCACAGCTTCGCAGTGGTCTGATGCAGTTTTAAACTACCATTAAACTTCCCCCTAGGTTTCATCTGATTGAAGATACTTATTTCGGTTCAAGTTATATTGTATCGCTATCACGCTCGTTCCCCTTAACACTTTCATGTCAATCGAAGTCACAATCATATCTCAGATGGGCGGCTGTTTGGGAGGTAGAGTTCTCCAATGGGTAGCCTGCCGCCACCTCACGCCACTGTATATACGTTTTGCGTGCACACAATTCTATGATAAAACGAGAAACTGGACGTTGCCTAAGTTCGATCCGCTTATGTTCGTAGTAAATCTGCAGTCATCTATTTATCTGTAGAGTTCGGACTTTAATACTCAAGGAATAAATATAAGTAACATAATGTGGCTGTGATTAAAAGATACAAAAGTATCAGAAGAAAATATTTTCTTTCTGACCTTTATGAATGTTTGGATTATTGAAAAATGTATACTAAATGATAATGTCTTGTTAGTCCTGGATTCTCACAACGTATGTGTATACTTCACCGTTTGCAACTTCTTTACACTGAATTATTTGCAACCCCTTTATAGTGCAATGTATGAAACCCGAGGTCCGAGAGTGGCCCAGTGGTTAGCCTGTCGAACTATGGACATACAGGTCTATTGTTGGAGTCCCGTCACTGCAAGAAACAGAATTAGTTAATGATAATCACGCTCCGTACTTTTGGGGCCGTGGGTATGTATGAAGGTGACGGTCAAATCCTATTATTTGATCACAAGAGTGGGTAGGTGGTGCTAAGTAGTGTCTCCCCTCTCTCAGTTCCAAGTTATGGACGGTAAGTGTAGATAGTCCATGAGGAGTTTTCCACGAATATCCGTAATATAAACAAATTTGAAATCTGAGTAATCTGGATTGACTGTAATCTGTGTAGCCAGAATTGTCAAAAACCTTTGAACAAAATATTGTTTTCAAACTACCTAGAACTCAAATTAAATTTGCAAATATTATATTATTCGCAACCTATCTACATTGAATTTCTTACAACATTGAGCATAACTTATTGATACAACTTTTATACTGAATCGTTTACAACACGATTATAGCTTAAATGTAGAATATTTTTTGTGATATATGTAGTTCGAGTTCTTTACAACCTTTAAAACGCATTGAATTGCTCAAAACTTGAGTATAAATTGTTAATATGTCTCCATATTGGATTCTTTACAAGTTAATAATACTTAATTATTAGTGTCCTGCCTGTAATTTATGTATTCTTTTAATTGTCTGTATAGATCATTTTTGCGAGCACCTCTTTTTCTAGATTTTTTACATTTCTAGCAGTATGAACTGCGTCAGTAAATAACAACTACAGAGTGTAGTAGTAGTTGCGTATGGTGTTTCTTTTGGAGGTGAGTATCCGGGAGTAGGACTTACGTCCTAGTCCGGACACCGGGTGAACATATTTTGGTGTGACGGGGATTCGAACCCGCGACCTGCAGATGAGTTTCATCCGTGAACCGTCACGGAAGACGACTTGACATTTTAGTAAGAATAAAGTAATTTCTGTTAGAACGAAGTAATGACACGTGTTTACAACTAAGTGCCACCAAACAGTTATCGACTTGCAGTGTGACGCTTACATTTTTATCCACACAAATATCGAATCTATAATAATATGCTGATTGATAGGTAATGAGCGTCTAGGCGATTCAAAGATGACGGTTAGTGATAATAATTTCTGGGTAACACATATTTCCTAATATATTTCATCTAACTAAACAGAAAGTCAAAACATACACTACCTTACCTAATAGATCTAAGAGCAAAAGTATCAGGATAACGTAACTATGACTTTGTTGACCTGGCATGGTGATGCCCATCCTAATCTGAAAAAAAAAGGAAATTAGATTTAAATTTACAAAAAAAACAACAACAACAAATGTTGGTAAAAGGTTTGTGTTCAATCAAGTCTTGAATAAAATATCTGCTAAGTACATTGTATATTTCACCGTTACTAGTAATACTTTGTGGTTTCAGTCACCAGGTGGGGTCACGAAATAAATGTTTTAATGGAGAGGTGATGATTTGGAGGTTAGTAAATTTGTTTAGTGAGCTATGCTAAACAACAACAAACAAAAAAAAACAAAAAACGATCGGAATTTGTAATACTAAAGCAAAATCGTTGTTATAACATAATGCCAATCAGCGTCCTTCAATTCGTTGTTCAGTAAATTACACATTTGATGGTCGGTCATGTAATCTAAAATGCAAATGATTGGTCACTCAACCTATGTTATATATATGTAACCATACGATACCACTACATTTGTCACTTTGAAATGAGTTCCAGAGTTTATAGTACTCTAAATTATTTATGATTCATGGATAGATCTAAAAAAAAAAGAAAGAAAAAAAGACTAAAATCTTAATTTGTAACTGGCCAACTACAGTAGTCTGTTGTGAATTGGATACAAGTGTCTCAAATTGTCGTTAGTAAAATGTTAAACAGCTTCCAAAGAGAAGTTGCTCGAACACTTGAGCAAGGTAGATCAATAGTTTTAACACAAGCAGACAACTACTTTCTGTCGATTTTGATTCCCCGCAACCTTAGTGTACCTGCTTCAAGACTGAATTATATGTTCGCAGCCACAACTAAACGCTATATCAGTGTACAGATAGTTAGAAACAAACTTCATGAAACTGGCTTGAATGAAGCACATTCTGTTCCCAGTAAGGTACAAAACCGCTGTTCATCTTTAATATTTTGAAGAATACAACCAATGGTACAAAGTAATATATTTTTTACACCATGCAATCAGGTAATAGGAATATATTGACTGGAAAGAACTTAGAACCAGATTTAACCCTCATTTTCACCTAGAACGTCACGTATATGGGGGTTGGGAGGTGGAAGGGTGTTGTGGGTAGGCATGTGTAATGGCAGATGTACACCTGCAACCTATTTTTTGCTATGCCATAAGCTGGTGCAGTTGGCCTTAATTAAGTCTATTGGTGATAAAATCCTGTATTAAACTGGTTGACACATTTCTAGAAGAAAAAAAGAGATTGATCAAAACGCATGGTCTACACACTCGTCAGACTTTATTCCCATCGATCACTCCTACTATTAATTATCTATCCAAATGCTATTCCTGTTAAAATCTTGACTTCAACTGGCTATCTTTATCAGCTGTTGACTTTTATCAAACCTCTACAGCAGTGAACCTAGGCATTCACATGCAAATTAAGTTTGGGCAGGCGCATTACTAGTTTTATATATACATAAATATAATTTATTATTCAAAAGATTCAGAGGTTAACCCCATTACATCAAATATGTTATACAAGTGTATAATCTACACTGATTTTTGTTCTTAAAATTCTGAATATCATAAAAATGATGTTATTGAACAAAAATATTTATTTGAGGTTCTTGATTTAAGCTTACTTGAAATGATAAAAGTTCCCTTAAACCCATCACCAAACTGAGGGCATGTCTGTAACATACAATAAACATAGCAAGACATTAAAAACAAAACTTTTGTTTCTCATCTATTTTGGTATGGTTCATAGTTTTTATTTCCGAATTATTATCACAAATTCTGAATTTAATATCCAGAAGAATTATAAATAAAACGGTTCTCAGGTTAAAGAACATGCTTGGTTTTCTATACACGACTAGAGTTGAATTCTCTTATAAGTTTGTATTTTTATTGCATTTTTCAGAATGTCTATGGATTAATCTTTTTAACAAAAGATTTTAAAAATATTGCTATAACATTGAATAATTTTGCATTATTCCAAAAGAATGTTCTTACTTGTCCAGTTCACCATAGTCTTTCTACTCTTCCCTATTCAACTTTCAAATTCCCCCCAAACCCGACCGCTACCAATGTTTCACACTCTAGTTCCTCTGCTGCCCAATCTTCCCATCTAACAACTTCTCCACCTTCTCACAGAAGCAGCAATCATTTTATAATTAAGAAAATATAAATAAAAAATTAAGAAATCCACAAGTTGGTTAAACAATTTTCAAAGTACTTCCTTTTCTTATAAAATAACTTTCATTGAATGATACTTTTTGTTGATTATCACAAAACCAAAATGGAAAACAAAAAAAGGTTCTTGTAATAGAACATGGGTTCTTAAGATATAATTGTAAAAATGTTCGAAGCATCTTGATGGGTTCTGACTTGAATTTCTAACAAGAAACTTATGCCGATTCAGTCTGAGTCTTAATTTTTCTGTTTGGTTAACGTAACATATTATACATTATAATATATATATTCACGGATTTTAGAACTGTAAGAGAAAGATCTTTTAATTGTAAATGTAACAGTTCCAACTGCATTTCTAATGAATATACGTAGCACGTCTGACTGATTTTTAGCTTTTGGATCATGTAAGTTAGCGCGAAATATACGATTTTCTTTTGGATAATTTCAACTTATTAAAAACATATACATTTCTTCCTGATGAAGAAAGGTCCATCTTTCGAAAACGTCGGGTTATAGAGTTAGTATTTTTGTCTTTAATTTAATCTTCGTGTTTTTTTTAACATCACGAGTGAATATCCACGTGAGGATCATGGATCCAATTCAGGTATGTATACCTTTTATTTCGTAACGTAGGTATTTTACGTAACTATACTCACTTGATATATCTTAATGAATACCCGGAAAATCCAACAGTGATACTAGAATAAGTAATGCCATAGCTAAGACCATACTCATTCCTGAATGTATCCGAGTTTTGATAATTTATTTTGGCACTAATTACCTGGAACAGACAGACAAGTCTGCTGAAAACTGTTCTTCAGGACTCGAAAACACAAAAGCCCATATTTTTAGCCTCAGACCACATAATAAGCTTGCTATCTCTAGTGTAGTCCTTAGACATCTTTCATCTGATGTTTTCAATATGTAAAGTACACTCATCACACAACTCAATAATAAAATTCGGCATTTTAACGAACTCGCTCAAAACTTTTGGAAAATCAACCCCCAGTTTGCCTTCATTAACCACACAAACTTAACATAATTCACTAATTTTTTTAGTCTGTGATGGACTTACCCTCAACTTCTCTGTACCTCTACCTTGACTTCAAAGTACTATATTTCTCGCTGTGTTTAACATTTCTTATTAACAGTTCTTCTAGTCTTCCCCATTCAAATTTCACATTCCCCCAAACCCGACCGCTACCAATGTTTCACACTCTAGTTCCTCTGCTGCTCAATCTTCCCACCTAACAACTTCTCACAGAAGCAGCAATCATCCGAGTACTTCTTCTGATTCTGCTAACGAATCCAGTTCAAATCACACTTTCCCATCAATATCGAGTTCCACAACTAATAACATTCATTTGTCTTATGCCCCTGTTTTCCGTTGTTTCCTCTTCACAACCGTTTTAACTTCCACTTTTTTATCTTTGAAACTACCACAAACCAATGTCACTGTAACAACTGCATGTTCTACACTACAATCTTCATCAGTTAAGCTTGTTTCTGCTTTTCTTTCATAACTTCTTTCATCAAAACACCTTGGTCTATTTTCCACTGGTGTCAGCTATCTTAATGATCTTCAACATAAATCTTATGTTTTATCACACTCTCTATCACATTCTGAAGAAGATAACAACTTTACTTTTCTTTCCCCAGGACTCCCTCTTTCTTTATTTGGCCATTCTAGCGTCATTCTCACCCCCACTGTCTCACAACACTAACCTAAACCATACTGTATATATATATGTATGTATATATTACAGGCTACTGGTATGGTCTGAAAAATATATGTTTCGTAAAAAACAAACAAACTTAAATTAGAAAAGAAAAAAGGAGTACACGCGTTTTTATTTACCTTGGAATATTTACCATAAAACAGTGTTTTTGGTATTTTCGGAAGAACATGAAAGTAAACCAAAGAGGTAACAGTTTCATCAAGAAAAATGTCGGGGAATATTTTTTTTCGAGTAACTACGTCGTAAATAACGATTATAAACATAGTAACAAATCATAAAGGATAAAAAATAGATCAATCTTAACATAAGAAACCTGATTATCCAAGAGTTTTCTGGGTCTAGTATTATGATTATGAACATATACATTATTATTGAATTTGTCTTAAATGTCGTCTCCTCCATATTTTTAAGAAAAAGAAACATTAGCCTTCATTAGCGTTCCGTATATGTCTCATTTTAAATTATGTTTATTGAATTAAACACCTAGGTAAGAGGCTGGAAAAAATCAAACATTATTATTTTTTTTCTACATCTTAAATAAATCTAATATATTCTAAACACATAGCGGTTATTCTTGAAATGGAAATGTCAAAATCTATATGATAACTATTCTATCGATTATCAGGTTGTTATATTTAAACGCACATTTATCATAAAATAAGAAACTATAATAGGAGAACTTTCGAAAGGCAGGTCTTCTTTCTTTCTGAATTTCTTAGTGGTTCAGCAGTAAATATGAGGGCTTAAAACGCTAAAGTCAGGCTTCGATCACCACAGTGGTCACAGCACAAACAATCCATTTGTACAGCTTTGTGCTTAACAACAAACAAACACAAACCTTCTTCATGAACGAGGCAATTTATTATTATTTCGGATTTTGTGATTCATCTAATTTTTAATTCAGCACAATTTTTGTGTGTCATATACAGATATTGATTATAGTTCAAACCTTATGAAAATCAACTGAGAGAGAAGTGAAATTTCAATCTCCAAATTAGCGATAAAACGGTTATTTTAATTAAATAGATGTGCAATTTGAGTAATTTTCTGAGAGGAAAATTGCATACCCAGCTCTGGCCTTGGTGAAAGCCCGACAGATCCGTTGGAAGCACAAGTAAAAGTGAACTCTCAGGCCATAATGGGCTTTAT